GCCTGGGTGGCTCAGTCAGTTAAGCATCCAACTCTTGATTTCAGCTCAGGTTATGATCTCAGGGTTCTGAGATCAAGCCCTGCATCGAGCTCCACCCTGGCTTTGGGAGCCTGCTTAAGATTCGCTCTTTCCCTCCTCCTCTACCCGCCCCCCAAATAAATAAATAAATAAATAGTAAATCTAGTAAAACTGATCATCTTTGATTATAATTCAGTGAAGCCAGGAATCAATAACAGAAATGGAAAACCAAAAACCAACCAAATAAACAACAACAACAAAAACCTTTGTAGAAATTAAAGGAACCATCATTATTGGGGCACCCAGGCGGCTCAGTTGTTAAGCGTCTGCCTTCGGCTCAGGTCATGATCCCAGGGTCCTGGGATCGAGCCCTGTATCGGGCTCCCTGCTCAGCAGGAAGCCTTCTCTCCCTCTCCCACTCCCCCTGCTTGTGTTCCCTCTCTCGCTGTGTCTCTGTCAAATAAATAAATAAAATCTTAAAAAAAAAAGGGAATTATCATTATCATGTAAAGCTTGGATCAAAGAGGAAATAGAAACCAAAAGTGAAGAATATATAGAAAATAACTATAGTAAAAGCACTATTTATCAAAACTTAACCTTTCAGTGTTCCCATGTATAAAATAAGAGTAATTATAGGGCCTATCTTCACTGGGTTTGTTGAAAGCAAGCTTAGAAAAAAATAAAAATTAAAAAAAAATCTTTAAAAAGAATAGAGTATCTCAGTACTGGAAAATATCTCAGAGCTACTCAATTTCCTATCTGGTAGGAAATTCCCCCAAAATAGAAATTATTAAGAACTCCAAGAAAATGTCTTACCTGTAAAAACAGTTATGGTAGAGTCATCCTTGCTTGCGGCTTCAAGTGCAAGCATGATTTCCTGATACATCTATGTGAAAGGGGGAAATGAGAAAAAGAAAGGAACTCTGAAAATGACAACCATTGCGTGGGATTCACTAAAAGTCAGTCTGTAAGCCTGTCCTCTGCAAAGCGCTAACTGTTAATGTTGGTTGCATTTACATAACCAAAAAGGCAGCCCAAGTTGAAAGGACTTTCATTCGTTTTACAGTTACTTGGTGTGTATCACGTGCCATGTGCGCTTGTGGACACTGGGGGATATATCCACCTTTCCCCAAAGGTGAACAAGTAAGACCTAGTCCTTGAGCCTTTGGAATTACTAGAGAGGGGGAGCTCTAAAGTGGGTGGAAAGTATGACACGGCAGGCAGACTGGAGGAAGCACTGATGTCAAGCATGGGTAGGATGGGAGGTGGCCAGAGGAAGATTTCCATGAAGCAGTTTGTCAGTTGGGACCTCAAAAAAGAGCACGTGTGTCCCAGGCACTCTGGAAAGTGTTAAAGGCTGGGATTTCAAGACACTCTAATGGTAGCCAAAGACAATAGGTCCAATATTTTAAATCAGCAACGTCTCTGAAAATCTTGCAGGTGTCGTTGTTATAGCTTTTAACGCACTGGTGCCCTTTCTACCTCAGATAAGACATCAGTGTGGGAGAGAATGATGAAGAGGGTTATTTATGGATACACAGACACTGAAAAAAAATATGGACTTGACATAATATGTGAGTAAAGGTGAAATTGTATTCACGGAGGGAGGGAACGAGGAAATAACTCCATTATTATTATGATTATGATGACGCAGCATGACAGGGTATTTGGCCAGAGCTGGGATTAGGAGATGGATATATTAGGGTTTCGATTTAGGTTTTCCAGCTTATTAGTTATGTGAATTTGAGCAAGTTACTGCTTAACCTAATTATTTTATTGTTAGTATTAAAAGTAGGCTCCTTGTGGGATTTAAAGAAACCTCTGTGTGGAAAGGGCTGACACACATTAGGCACTCTGTAAAGAGTAGATGCTATTACTATCCTCCTCCTCATCACCATCATCACCATCATCACCACCACCATCA